GGGGCAAAAAAAATTTTCCGGACAAAATTTCTCCGGACAACTACCTCGTAAATTAGGGTCAAAAATTTTTTTCCGGAAAAATAATAAGTAAAAAAACCGCCAAAACCGGTTTTTTCGCCTATAATCTGTAAAATTTAGGGGTTTTTCACCAAAATCTGTAGATTTAAGGTCGGGAAATTTCAAATTACCACAATCGGCCGAAATTGACGAAAAATTACCACGGTAGTTCTGAAATTACCGTAGTAATTACCACAAATTTCCAATTACCACAATTGTCCAAAAATGACGAAAAATTACCACGGTAGTAATGAAATTACCACGTCTGGTCACACTGATCCAGTTTTTTTATAGCTTCTTTGGGTTTTTGTAAACCAGGGGGGGGGGGTGTCTTTTCCAACAAACTAAAAATGGCTTGCACACAAATTTGAAAGCTTTAATCGTATTTTGAGTTAATGGATGGAACATTTGTTGGGTTTTTAATTGCTGTACAAAATTTCAGACAATTTGCTTCAGTCCTTCAATTTGCTTCAGCCCTTTAACTATTCATGCAATACATTTTTTTCTGGCCTAAAACAAGCCTTTTGCATGCTTAATTAATGCCTTTGCCTAATTTGCATATTGCAGCAATATGCAAATTAGGTAAAGGCATTAATTAAGCATGCAAAAGCTGATTTATTTAGAAAAAAATGAATAGTAAAGGGCTTAAACTAAAGCAAATTGTCTGACATTTTGTACTGTAATTAAAAACCCAACAAATTCTCCATCTATTAACTCAAAATACGATTACAGCTTTTCAATGTTGTGTGCAAACCATTTTAGTTCGTTTGAAAAAAGAAACACCCCCTGGCTTACAGAATTTGAGTTTGAGTATTTTTTTCATTATTCTACATTAATCATTATGGATATACTCGAGGAATCTACATATAACAAAAACTTGATACCACGAGCTGTTTTGTGAAATTGAGAGCAATTTCAAATCTGTTCAGTTTTTTTATACACCCTGTATAACACTATAATGTATGAAAATGATGGGTATGTCTAGGGTGCTTTGATATTTGGAAACGGGGATGGCCTACTATCAAAAAACCTAAACAACAATCATCTTGTTTCACAACTGTTTTCTCTGCTATCTTATGTTGCTATATGTTTCCCAGGGATGCATTTTGTTATGATTTTCGGTTGAGGGTCTGGTAACGAGTTAGATAATTAACAATATATTTTTCAACAGCTTTTGCCAGGGCCATTTGTTTCCGCCATTTTGTTTTTGGCTTCCATTTTGGCCAGCCCCTTACAAATGGCCCTGAGTACGATCGAGGTGGGGTTTGATCCGCCAATGTTGTCTTTCTTTATACAGGTATCGAAACGCTGTTAGCAAAAGGAAAGAGTTATTTGAGTGAAGACAAATTATCTGATTCTGAAAGTTTCTTTAGCCAAGTGGTAAGAATATGTCAGAACCAAGAGCCCAGAGACTATGTCGGAAGCCAGCCGGCATTTCTAGGACTGGTGACAGTTTACATGAAGTACGGTACGTCAGAATCGTTACCAGTCTACCAACGCCAAGAGGCGCTTATCAAAGCAGGTGTGTTATGCCACTACGTGATAAATCTCGCTGAGAAGTGCGGCTATGATGAGAGGCAGGACAGCGCAAATGACAGCGACAAAGAGGCCATTGCTTGTAGCACTGAGATGGAGAGTCTTCTGAGTCGTATCGAATCGGAACTGTTGAAGAGCATGAATGTAATTTGTGCAGATTTACCAAAACGTGCAGTTGAACACAAGATGTTATTAGTACGCCTCAGAAAGAAAGTAAAAGAAGAAATCTTAAAGCTGGAAACAATAGATTTTGATCAATCCACTGTTGAAACCGAAAAGCACTTTGTTAGAGAAATGACGGACATCAATAACACGATCTGCGATAGCATAAAAGACCTCGTGCAAAAAATGATTACAGAGTGCCAGATCGCTTTGGGTAAACCACCTTGTGAATTTGTCGCGGTTTGTCTGGGATCATTTGCCTTCGGCACGACCACGCCGTATTCCGACCTGGAGTGGGCCATTATCCTCGATATTGAAGATGACCACTTCAAGGAATACTTTCGGAATTTGTCCCGTCTATTTCAATTCAAAGTAGTGAACTTAGGTGAAACCATCGTACCTTCTGTTATGATTCAAAGCTTGAATAGTGAGTGCGATTCGTGGTTTTACGATGACGTCACCCGACGTGGATTAGCATTTGATGGTGCCATGGTGAAGGCGTGTAAGACTCCCGTGGGAAGAAGGGATGACTCGGGGAACGTTGTGTTTGAGTTGATTCATAGCCCAGAAAAGATGGCCGAGTTTCAGAATCTGGAATGGCTGAATAAATCGTTTGAGCTGGCTTGCTCGCTTCGCAGTTTTCAAGTCATTCACTCCTCCGAACCTATCAAAGGAGATGAAATAATTAGAAGATATAAACAGGAACTGAGAAACCAACTTGAACGTTACGTTGAAGGAGATTCGCCATTATTTGAGGAAGAGATGCCGTCTGACAAGGACGAGTCTTGTTGTTTGCCTAAGGAAATGCAATGGAAAAAGGAGTCGGAAGAGTTTGAATTCCAGAAGGACAATGCTTTGTGTAGCAATAGACTTTCAAATCCTCGCTCACACAGTGGGAGTGAAGGCAATGTTGTGCAAGGTGATGATAAAGGAGAAGAGAATAAGGGCAGTTTCAGCGACACATTAGACAATCACGTTCAGGAAAATGACGAGGTGAGCAGTAACGAGAAGATTTACGAGTCTACAGATAAACCGTCGAGCAACAGTGCTAAACAAATCAAGGAGCTTCTAGGGGATGCCTCGTTAATCATTGTTCCTGATGTTGATGCTAAGAAAATTGATACCGTCACGTTTGAAACACGAACCACTGGTATCTCGAGCAAGGAAAATCAAGAGAATGTAAGCCAGGAATGCAGCAGCCAATTAAGACATGGCACCTCAAATAACCACGAGAAATTCCCAGGTAGATAAGAAATTTTAATTAAAATACCAAATTATTCCACTTTATGATGTTGTAATTCTGCATGCAAACTTGTTTCCATTGGAATGGTAGTGATGTTATTACATTTAATTTTTTATTCATAGCCGGCCGACAGTATACAGGTTTATAATGTTAATACTGAAACTTCCCGAATTTTCTCGAAAACTCAAAATGCTGAGGAATCCAACAAAACGAAACAATATTGTAGTAATATACAAGTTTATTTCGGGGCACGTAGTTAATCTGGAGATAACTTTGGGATAAATTGGAATTTTTACGCGCAAAACGTATGCTAGTCTTTAAAATGCTTTACTGGAAAATGTACAGTGAGATTTTGAATTTTTGTTTCTGGTTTTTATGTGCATGAAGATATATGTTTGTGATGTTGTCTCAGCAAACCAAAGGTCGCGAGTTTGATTCCCAGTTTGCCGTCAAGCAAACGTTTCAGCTTGCCCGGTGTGGACACACTCAAACAATATCACAAACATATACAGCGAGATATTTTCGATGTCCTCACTGCTGTAGTGAGGACATAGAATCACGTGATTTCCCACTTTGAACATTTATTGTGTTGTTCCTATCATAGCTGATGGTGGAAATTTCTATATGTACTAAAATGAACATTAGATTGAATGGCGGCTTGAAGATACGAATTTTATCTTATCGTGGAGAAAGCAATATTTCACCTATTTGCCTCACTAATTCGAAAAATATTGCTTACACCACTGTCTAATATCCTGTATATATCAATAGCCGGTTCCCCCACTGCTATTCATTATTTATATTACATATTTTCTACCTGCAATTTGCAGTCAAAACACATCGTTCTATGTATTTTGCAGATCAAGAAGTACTATCAGACGTCGGTCGTCTAACCACAGTACGAAGTCAACATGTGAAGAAACTGATGGCGAACGACATGCCCATGTATCATCTACACGATGTTCTTTGTACCTCGGACACAGAGGGCATGATCTACAACGTGAAGAAAGATCTATACAGGCAGCCTGAACGAGCGCTTTCCATCTTATTCCTACAGTTTCAAATAGAGAGCAGCAACGTTTATGGGGGATTAGAAGAACTACAAAGAAAGGGCGTTGTCAGTGGTCAAGTTAAGATGGACTTATTTGTGGCAATGTCGATCGCTTGTGAGCTCCGCTTGCGAGCGTATCTGGAACGTGACAGGCAGATGGAAGAACTAGACATTCCCTCCTCCATTCCAGGTTGCTGTAATGACATTTCTTCACTTGTAGAAACTGAAGATGCACCATCCGTGAAAGCTAGGCTGGATCGTGTGCTCAGGTTTTATCGCATTGTCCTGCCGTTTTTGGAGAAAGTGCGAGAAGACCAAAGTGAATCAGTTGCTGATTCAAGACCTGTGAATTGGGAGCTTACAAATCTTGGTAGTTCAAGTTACTACAACGCCTTGATCCATTTGCGTTTGTTACGGTACAAGAACGCAAGGTATTTCTCGTTGAGGACGATCCACGAAAACCCAGAGCGAGCAAATAGCTGGCAGCTTTTGGCAAGGCTGCTTGAGCAAGAGGGAAAGTATGATAAAGCGTATCGCTGTCTGGTGAAATCTTTCCTCATCTTCTTTGCCGAAAAGGACGAGGTCATTAGTTTGTGTCTGGAAACGAAACAAGAAGGCCTACAGGAAGCAGCAGCAAACAAAGATCTACCCACCGGTGCTTGGGTGAAGCGTGTCCAAACAGTTGTGTCCAGAAGTCAACAAATAAAGTTCTTAAGAACATGTCTTCAGCGGATGGCCCTTGACTCCTTTTTTGCTTCGCAATATCAGAGGGCATGGCGTTTCTTCCGAATGGTCTATCACCTGGTGCTAAACAACCCTTTGGATAGAAAAAAAGATGCTGTTTCATCTGTGTTCTGCAGTACTGCTTTATGCCTCAGTGCCACTGGCCGCTATCAAGAAGCAATAGATATCCTGGAATTTATCCTGAATAACAATCTCTTGAGTCCCATACAGATTCCCAAGGCTAGAGATAATCTTGGCAACGTTTACTTTTATGTCGGGAACTACTCTAGAGCGTTAGAAGAATACCACAAAGCTTTGAAACTAAGACGGAATTATTATCGAGTCGACGGAAGTCCGTTCTTTGTGATTTCATATGTAAACATTGGCAACGTTCTTGGTAAGATAGGACAAGTGACGGAATCTAGCAAGTGTTACCGAAAGGCTTTAGAACTCATTCGGCGAATGTACAACAACCCCTGCGCCAATTATACCGAGCTGTGCTATTCTGGTATTGGAGGGAACCTCCTCTCTATAGGAAGGAAAGAAGAAGCTCTCGATTATTGCAAGAAAAGCGTAGAAATTTCGAGGAATAGGCTCGGACACTGCAATCACAAGTCGAATGCGTTGGCTCTTATTGGTCTTGGGAACTGCTATTTGTATCTGTTGCGATTTGACGAGGCAGTAAAGACGTACGAAGCAAGTGTGGATATTTTACAGAAGATCGGAATGGTAGAGGATGCTGACGTGTTGCCTGTCGAGATTTCCATTGTATACTGTAATCTTGCTGTGGCATTGCACCAGCAGGGTCACTCTGACGTTGCACTTCGCTGGTTGCAAAAAGCAGAAAGCAAGATGGTTTCGTGCGTCAGCAGGGACTCGCACTTCAACATGGGTGTTGTCTTTCATGCTAAGGCGCAGATCTTCCGGGCGCAAGGAAAGCATACCGAAGCAAAGGAGCTACTCGAGAATGCTCTTGATGTATTCCTGAATGTTTTCGGGAGCGACGTCCCCCACCCTTCGATCATCGTCGCGCTTACTCACCTTGGCAACCTGCTCATCTCGCTACGACAATACGCGGCGGCGGTGAATCGTTTTCGTCGCGCTCTTCATCTGTTAAACAGGAGCTTTCCCGAAGATGCTCATGTCCAGCTCAAGATCAGTGCCAATAAGAACATGGGCTACGCGCTGTACCAGTTGGACCAAATACCAGATGCGCTCGTCTGCTACAAAAGAGCACTGGAAATACGGTCAAAACATGCTGGAGCATCATCACTGAACGTTGATCCGAGTTTGATTCTCAGTTTATATGTAGAGGCTGGGAATGCGTATATTCGAGCTGGAAACCAACGCGAAGCAATGCGGTTGTACGAAGCGGCTCTCCGCATGCCTGTTTCTCTGAGCCGTGGGGTGTGTGACCTGAAAAAAGTTGCTCTTTCTCTGGCAGCTATGCAGACAAGGGCGGGACTGTTGGACGAAGCAATCGAAAGTTTTCAAACAGCAGTTTCATTGCACGTGAAGACGGGCATCGACGAGATCGACCCTTTCGTTGTAAAGTGTTACCAAAACCAGGCCGCGCTCTATCAGACCATCGGAAACCGAGAGAACGCCTGTCTTTACTCTGAGAAAGCTCTAGAAGTACAGTTGTTGGTAACAAACTCCAAACCGCACGAAGGTACGGCGAAGCTTTTGGCACAAGTGGCAGAAGCATGGTCTTACAGCGACACCCAGAAAGCGGTAGAGTTTGGCAAGCGATCTCTTCAAATGGTAGCGGCTCTTGGAAATCTGGAGAACCTGGAGCATAATGTGCTCTCCGATCTGGGATTTTATTACCATTTGCATGGTGAACAGCAAGACGAGCAAAGTGAACAGCGACGTCTGTATAAAGAAGCGGAGGAAAATTACAACAGAGCATTGCAATTAAAAAGAAACGAGGCGACATTGTTCAACCTTGCTTTTCTGCTCATGACAAATTCTCGTTTCCACGAAGCGTTCGTTCTTTTGAAAAGTGTTCCAGAAATATGTAGCAGGGATAGTGTACTTGGTTTCGACGATCGTGATGCGCCGTTGTTAAACAGGAATCTTCGTAAGAGATTGTTTTCTCCACATAAAAACAATGAAGTTGTGATGAAGACTATAGTCTTGGCTTACTTCTCAATGGTCCAGTGCTACAAAGCGTTGGAAGATTACACAAACGCACTTTCTGAGGCATTTAAACTAGAAAGATTTGTGTGTGAACTAGAAAATCCCGCCTCGACTGATTATGTGCTGGTTGCTTGCGCATTTGAAGAAATGAACAAGCCCACAAAGGCAGAATTTTTCTTCAAAAAATGTTCTGCGGAGATTTAGTTTTCAAGCAAAGAAAGGGAAAACATTTTTTGCTTCATAGTACGGCTATACCTCGAAAACTTTTATTTTAAGAGAACGATTCCTTTTTCACTTTAAATGCTGATTTGTTGAAGATATATCCAACTCGACGACGACGTTTGTAAATATCCTCGACGTAATGCTTTTCAGCAAAATTCTCGGTGTTTAAATATAGCCTACTGATGAATTGCTCCTCATGTGTAGTTGATCAATCCTTAAATCTTTGTTCTGCGAAATACAAATGGTAGATACATGTATATGAAATAAATTGCTGCCGAGTAAGACATCATCAAAGTATATAAGTAGGCCTAACAGTAGAATTGCTCCTTCGCCTTAAGATTCATGGGGTAGTTTTAGTCTTTAAAATCAAATGCATAAAGCACAAGTTTCTGAAAGATATTCATTCAGTAACTTGAAACAATGATTTTAAACAAAGAGCACAATTGCATAATATACAAACACTACAATCGACTCCAACATTCCCTTTGCCCAACAAGTCCAATCATGTTTCGTGCCAATAAAGACATGTCAGACAGTTACACATATATACTGACTCAATTACGGTTTTGAATACCTTGGTCTTGGAAAGATCCTGTATGAAAGTATTCAACTTTTCAATCATAATTCGACTCGCTCTAATTTACAGAATATACATTATTTGATGAAAATTATTTAATGGCCAGATCTATAAGTGAAACACAATTTATGATTAATACTTTATATGATATGCATATTTTCTTGATTTCAATTTTGACTACATAACTCCGAATTGGTGCATGCATGTATTATACCTGTCGATACCGATTATTTTAAATTGGCCGATAAATCGACTAAGCCGATTACGGCACGATTAATGATCGTTAATCGGCTCATTTTAAATCTGCAATCTACCTTCTTCGAAAACGAATAATATATATGGGTGAAAAGTTCACAATTATACTATATCAGTATATGTCTAAAAACCTCACGAAATTTAACAGAAAGTCTTGTTTTACTTAGCAATGCGCGTTCACCTGTAATTGTTTGAGTTGTTTCTTCAATAGTGCGCTTGCTTGCAGTTGAAACCACCAGTCACACTTTTTGTTGCGATCTACTTGTGACCTGTTGTCTCAGGCAACGACAACAAAGACATGTCGTGATCGTGAATTTGAATTGTAACCTTTTGAACAGTAAATATTCTTTCAGATATGAAGTTGAACTTATTCAAATACTCAGAGGTTGGTATCTTTAGTTCTTTGATTTAAACTTAATTTTTTAGTGGAGTTTTTCTTTAACTTGTGAAGTTCTTGTACATAGAGGCATGTGGATCTAACACTAACAACAGATTCATCACGTGCAAAACTTTGCATATACATATACTATATAAGTATCTTGTAATTATTTTCACTATAAAGCCCAGATCAAAGGATGAGAGTTGGCAGTCACGCGAGCTTGGTTAGCTGTTCTTAATGCTTTTCCAACACTATCATGTATTCAACAAAACATAGTCGGAACCATAGATATCTTATATACACAAGATAGCGCATCTCTTTTAGTAAAATTGAAACCAAGAAAATTCCAGCGGTTACCCCCATTTGAGTAGATGGCGGCCATGTTGGTCGTTCCCACTTGCTAATAAACGCTAGTTAAAAACAACAATAACTTTCATCATTTGTATAGTTTCAAAACGTATTTGGAATAGGGTTAACTTAATGTTTAAGTTCCCTGTTTAAGAAATAGAAAACATTATACGAGTCTTCTCATTTCACGGTAACCGGACCTGAGACTGCAATCACGGCTTCAATTTTTGAATTGCAGAATAATTAGATTCACTATATCTAGTCATGTATATAAGATATCTATGGTCGGGAGTAGTACGTCGGAACACTGGAATTTGATTCTTCAATTAGGCCTAATTGAAAACAAGGTTGAAACGTCATGGCATGCGCCGAACTCATTGTTCGAGGTTTAATCTACGTCCACACGGGGCTGAGGATTCATTACGAGACGAAAAGTGTTCACACAGAACCAGATGAATTGTAGTCCCTGAAGTATTTACGTACTTCATGTTAGTTTAATGTATTGAGTTAGTATTCTTCTCAATCCTCTACCGTACAAAATGGTCTTGAAAAAGACTCGTTCCGCTGTTCACATGGCGCCGTCAAATTTAGGAGCCGAAAACCGGTACAAAACGAGACCTAATTTTTTTTGGTCTCGAATAGTCGTACGGTTAGCCGTGTTGGAATTCGTCCGGTTTCATGTGCCCCGTGAAAACGCAAGGCGAAAACGGACAAATTTGAGTACGGATCTCCCCGTGTGAACGGACCTAGATTATAATAGCCAAATAGGTTCGGCACATGAAAAGTTCGGCGTATCAAGGTCTTAAATATTATCATCTCATTAGGCAATTTTTAATATAATTTGTTTGAGGTTTAAATTAAAGTACAATTCTCTGACTGGTACTCCTTATTCCCGCGTACTTGAGCTTGCACAAACTTAAGATTAAAGGTGTACTTTTAGTCTTAAAAATCAAATGCATAAAGTACAAGTTTCTGAAAGGTATTCAGTAACTTGAAACAATGATTTTAAACAAGGAACACAATTGCATAATATACAAACACCACATATATTATAATTGTTGGAGGTTTAAATTATAAGTTCGGCACTTAAGAGGTTCGGCTTTCGTCTAAGCCTTGATGCCTGTGTACACTTGCAATTTTTGCTGCGATTTTAGGTGCGATTTTCTGCTTCTGATGCACGTGGACAAGCAGATGAGTATGAATGTTTGAGTGTTTCACCCTCGTCTCATCCACTCGTTCACATCCATAAAAAGAAGAAATCGCATCAAAAATTGCAAGTGTAAACAGGGCTTTAGATATAATAGGGAGCTTAAGAAATCTACGTCGCGGACTTGACGAAAAACTGCCGCTATTGGACACCTTAAGATTGACGTTTACGGCAAACGTCAAACCGCTAGCGAAGTTTTTGATTTTACCACTCTATTATAATAGCATTTACACCAGTTTGGAAATATGTTAAACAATTATTAAACTTGTGCTCTTTAGGAATTATTTAAGAAAGCAAATTAACCACTAGTCGGGTATTCACCAAAGCAGTAAATTAAGATTTGTCGTTTGAAGTTTACGTTTGGCGTATAAATTTCATACTTGAACTGCTACGAGGGCTTGTAGTCGTTCAAGCATGAAATTTATACGCCAAACGTAAACTTCAAACGACAAATCTTGATTTACTGCTTTGGTGAATACATGACCAGTGGTTCATTTGCTTTCTTAAATCATTGTTAAATACCACAAGTTTAATAATTGTTTAACATATTTCAAAATTGGTGTAAAAGCTATTATAATAGAGTGGTAAAATCAAAAACTTCGCTAGCGGTTTGACGTTTGCCGTAAACGTCAATCTTAAGGTGTCTATTATCACAGTTTCGCTTCACGGGTAAAAGCTATGGATTATTATAAGTAATAGCATAGAAAGAGGCGAATTAGCTATTAAAACGTCCCGCCCGATGAGGGTCGTTTAGTAAAATTCCCTTGGGCGCCGCTCGATGAGGGTCATTTAGTAAAATTCCCGAGGGCCGAAGGCCCGAGGGAATTTTACTAAATGACCCGAATCGAGCGGCGCCCAAGGGAATTTTACTAAACGACCCTCATCGGGCGGGACGTTTTAATAGCTAATTCGCCTCTTTCTATGCTATTACCTTGTAATATCATGATTGCGGGTATTCCCGTTGTTCTCGCAGGGCCATTAAAAACCAATTAACAATAAATAATGGTATAAATTAAATGGTATAATTGTTTTCCATGTCTTTGTTTAGTTTTGGCGATTTCAGATATATTCATTTTTTCTAATCGTACCCGCTTTGACGTCGTTTCGGGTAGGATTACAACTAATTCTACCTGACATGACGTAAAAGCGGGTAGGATTAGAAAAAATGAATATAATGAAGTGTATTAGTTATTAATTGCCCTGCGAGAACAAAGGGAATACCCGCAATCATGATATTATTGTTGGTAAACGTAGCCAGGGACACGAGAAAAAACAAAGTAAAACTAGTCTCCAATTATTAGGACTGTTCTTTAGTCGCGTCGCAGATGTGGTGCATGAAAAATACAAGGAGACAGGGACACTCTTCGCGAGCGAAGGGTGAAGCGTATTTTATAAAATTACTAATTACGTCAAGAATTTGTTAAATACACATTAAATCATACCGAAGACTAAATGCTCTCAGTTTATTTAGTCAGTTCTATCATTGGTGAAATTTCAATAAATTGAAACTTTTCCATGCCTACAAGCAGACATGAGAAAGCAGCCTCTATATAGGAACCCTTATATCACTTCTGAGATCGTGGGTTAGATATGACGAGAAATTATCTGAACGGCAAATTAATTAGTATTTTTTAATCTTTTAGGCTTAGCTGAACAAAAACGAGGCCAATCAACATCATAATGTTTGTTTGCATAGACATGAATGCATTTTTTTAATTAAAAACTGCTCTGCGACGGATAAAGGTTACAATTATCGGATATGTTATTGTTGCAACGGCAGAAATGTTTAAATTTCAGAACTTTATGCTTTCCATCAGGCATTGGAATAGACCATCACGATGTGTTTTTACTTTGTTAACTTTGCTTGTTTTCCTGCTGATAATGTTACGGAAATTTGAGGGTATAACATGGTTTGTGAAGTTTTCTGCCGAAGGAAATTACCCACCAGAAACACTGGAAGCTACCATGAACAAGAAGGACTATAACAGTTTGTACAGTGTTGTGGAAACCGTCAACCCTGCAATTGCCTGGCAATCTCTGGTGTTAAATATTTTACCAAGTTCTTCAAGCAATGTAAAAATCGGCATGAGTACTTTCTGGGGAAGAGCAACAAACGAACTGGAAATTATTGCATTAAACATACAACATATTAGCAATGACATCTACAAGGCTGAATTCAAACCGAGTTTTGGTGGTTTATATAAAGTGGATATATACTTGACTTATGTTAACGGGGAACAGTTTGAATATTATGCTCGTCATGTAAGATCTAGGATGGTGAATGTAACCGGCTCGCCATTTCTCGTCCTCGTTCAAAGCCGCCCTCGCCCGGAAAATGTAACACGTTATTGTTCACAGTCTGAGAGTGGTACAGCACAGGGTAGATGGGTGAAATGTGGATCCTTGAGTGGTATAGAGAGGTAAGAAATGTGTTTGACTAGAAGCTAACAAATCATGGTGCCGACTGCGCATTTATGCAAATGCGCGCTTTTCATAATTTAAATTGTAATTGATTCATAACATGAGACCGTTATTCAATGTAATATCGTAGACATAGCTACCTCGGAATTCTTTGTTTCGCAATGGACGATTAATGACTAATTTACCTCATATTACTAAAACATGAGGTGCATAACCTCTTAATATATTGATATATTAATAGTGATGAAATGTCCCTCAAGCCTCGAGAGGTTTAGTAAAAGTCCCTCGGCGCTGCGCGCCTCGGATCGATAACCGTGCGCAATTTTGACTGCGCCAATATAACATATAACCCATATGCCAGAAGATTATAATCTAAACTGTACTTTTGTCTTTAGATGCGGTGGGTGGCAACTTATTCCTAAATTTGACTTTGATGGACGTCATGGTTATTTCTGGCTTCCCTATTCATGCCAACTGCACTATTACAATAACAACGAGATGAAAACGTGTCTGGCAAAAAATGGTTATGAAAGAATCGTGTTCACAGGCGATTCACACTCTCGCTTCAGGACCTACCACTGGGCAACACGACTTTACGGCGCATGCAAGAAATGTGGCAAAAACCATGTGAAGACAGTTTTTGATCACGTGCCCAAGATGGAATGGATCTTCGATGCACGTGGTACTCGGTGGCCTGCGACGTTTCCGAAGTCAGTCCGAAGACCGAACGAAATCTATGTTCATCCCAAGACTAGACGCTCGCATTTCTCGTACTCATTTCCAAATTCGACCCTGAACGGTGACCTCTATTTTATGAATTTTGGCCATTGGCTTTTACGCGAGATGACGTTTAAAAAGTACATGGCGGAAAAAGTGGTTGCTTATTTACAAGGAGTTACATTGATGAATAGTACAAGATGGATTTCTCACTCGAAAAAAGGAATCGCAAAAGACGTAAACCTTTTGGATCATAGAAGACGGGTATCGAATTCAAAAGCGAAGCGAAAAAGATTCTTATGGGTGAATAGCTTGAGTCTAAAATGGCGCGAAGATAAACACGTTACTAATTGGACAATGACACCATCGCCTTCAACGATTGGTTATTTGAATTCCTTTCTGGATCAAGCAATGAGAGACGCGGGTATTCAGGTTGTGGACGCCTTTCAGATATCCAACCCGCGCCTGAGTGCCGTCCATGATGCAACTCATTATGCTAAACTATTCCCCGATGGTATCTGTGCTGGAGTCGTAGAAAATACCGTCACTAATGTTATCTTAAATGCCTTGTGCAATGAATGATGACAAGATTTTATAAGATTTTTTGTATGGTCAAAATTTTAAAACAAAGTAATAGGAAATTAATGAATTATATACTTGGAAAGAACTTTTAAAATTATGTATAGAATTCCATTAATCTTTTGTAAATATTTTGACTGCAAGGTTTGATGGGAATTTTATAACTTTTTTCGATCTTCCCAGCTGCGAAAAATGTATCTATTCTTTGTTTGCAATCACGTGATTTTTCATCCAAATACGGAATGGTTGTAGCAAGAAAAACTGAACGGTAATTCATCTTTTGAGTCTTAAACAGTCTTTAAACTCGATCAATACATCAAAATAGCCGTTTTTTGTTATACCTGCCAGTCAGCTGAAATTCCAAAATTATGTCATTGCAAACAAGGCCTGGGGCCAGTTGTTCAAAGGTGGGTTAGCGCTAACTCTGTCCCTGGGTTAAAATTTAACCTGCTGTTTTAGTTTGTGTATTTCTACACGTCTGTTTATTTCAAAACTTCAGAGAAGTAAACTCTTATCGATCCAGACAAGATCTCTGAAGAAATATTTCCAAATTTATAGACAAGCTGTCAGGAAGTTTGCTTTGAATTTTACGTTATTCCAGGATGATGTAAGCACTGCGGTCCGAGGGGGAGAAAACCCCCGGACCCGCGAACAGGCCGGGTGCAGGAGACCAAGCCAACCCCAGCTTTGGAAACAACTGGCCCCTGCAGTCCTGTAATCTCGGTGCTGCCCCCTCCTCCGGGTTTCACGTGTTGACACAACAAAGACATTAATATACAAGGTTCATTTCATTTTCTTCTAATTACAAGATCATTTTACATTTTTGTTTTTTAAATAAATTTCTAGAACCATCTGATGTGTATTTATGTTTGTATATTACATGATGTAAATTAAGTTAATAAAAATATGCTATATACACGAAATATATATATATATTTTATAACAATTCCCAAATATATGCGGTGAAGAATCACATGATAAATTTTAAACACCCAAAATTGATTTTCACTTTGTCGTCAAAATAATATGAAATAATGTTAATTTAGTAATATCAAAATAATATTAATTTAGTAATATAAAAATATTAGGAATATAATAACAATATGAACGAATGTTATAGTTTAAATTAAACTACTGGAAAAAATTTCCGTTCTCACTATTAGATTAAATTGTTTTTAAAATAAATTATTAGTTCAATTACTTCCTCTATCTTGCTCTGTTCGCGTAGAATGTGTTAAATGAAATTATATTTTGATATACCCTACTTGTACTTAAACTCGCGTGGTAGTAGCATTTGCACGAAAATAAAACTGAGCGAAAAGTAACACGCACGAAAACGTTTGCCATCCTGACACGCGCGAAAAATAGTCCATGTGTGAACGTTTCATGCATAAAAAGAGACCATACTGATATTTTCACTAGGAGTTTTTTAGAGCGGAAAAGACAAGGTGGCGGAATTGATGTTCTATCATTCCAATAGCTATGGAGATCGTATAAACAGTTTTAATACCATACCATTTCCCTAACGGACCATATCGCAATCAAGTTATAATTTTATAAAACCATAGTATCGTTCTTTAAATCGAAATCAAAACATGAAATTTCAGCAAATTCCTTGCAGACCGCGCGGACAAAAACAACAGAAAGGGACTGAAACTGACGTCCAATAGATCCATTTTTGGCTTCACTCTTTGGACTCGAGTTGTCACTCCAGATATATATGGAACTCACAAGTATCCAACGAGGTCAGAAAACGGCAATTGCTAGATAGTATACCTCAAAATAAGGTTTCCGTTTTTATATCAATTTTTGAAATAATTAAAATAAGTTAGGGTTAGGTTAGGGTTTAGGTTAGGGTTAGGGTGAGGGTTAGTATTAGGGTTAGGGTTTAGTTTTGCGTTAGGATAGTTTTTTCTACGTTATAAAAACGGAAACCTTATTTTGAAGTATACTATCTAGCGATCACCGTCAGAAAACATTGTATTTTCCAGTTTTATTCCGTTTCAGGATTGGCAAAATTAACACAACTTTAGCGATAATGAATACCACACGAATCTAAATACAAGTAAGGTGCATACCGTTGCAAGAATTTCCCATGATTAACCCAAAATCTCAAATGTCTTATCACAAAATGTATGTTTGTATTTCTTTAATGATGGCGCCAATAGGGTCCGTATCTTGCAAGAACAGATGACACTTGTGTTTTGTGTTACCGCTGACCACCGTGGTGAAAGCGAAGGCGCACTTTCCGTCTGGATGACTTTGAACACCGGAAATGGCCGCGCGTTCATAACACGCTTGCGGGGTATGGGTCTGTTCGTCCATCATCATCACGCCTCTAGGACTGAGCACTAGTTGAGCTTTCTTATAATGTTGACCGTTGTCGGCGGACTTCTTCATAGCTTTGTCCACGCTTTTCTGATACTGTTTAAGACATTCTTTGACATGTTTTGGCTTCAAAGGTGGACTAACTATTGTCGAGACGAGGTAGAAAACATTGAACCGTTTTTCTGAACTTTCTTGGAGGATTTCAGGCTGGCGTTTTTCGTCTGGTGCATATTTCGCTGGCTGGGGTTTTTCTTCCGATGTACACTTCTCGGAGTGGGTTTTTTCTTCAGGTACTTTGGGAACTTCCGGTGGTTGGTTTGCTCTTTCAAGTGGTCGGGGGACTTTATCCGGTACACTTTGTGTCGTTTGGGGTTTTCCTTCCGTTTCTCTTGTCTCTGATGCGGTTTCTTCCCCGAGGGTGTCAATTCCCGTGTCATTTTCTTCAGTGAAAGATTGAATGGTGCTCATACGATTTCTGCTTAGTCGTTTCGGGAGGAAGCGGCCTGGTCTTTTACGCATGCGTGCTGGGAGAGTTTGGCACCGATCTACATCTGCTGGGCTCGAACTCTATTAAGAAAGCATAAATGATAGATTACTAATCGAATACAAGTCTAACCACTACTTACGGAGATTTTCCTTTGGGGAGACGCCCTATGTTAAACAGTCGTCAATTCTAGGTGGACACACTTGCATGATCCCAAATTGAATCAGATTATAGATTTTAAACATTTTGCATTAAAGCAAGTCAAAATGCTTTATCCAGAGTTTAAATGTTGCTGTGTCTTTACAAATGTTGACAATTTCGGGGGGGGGGGGACGTTGCGACAACTGCTATTCTCAATGAGAAACAGGGGGCGTTACATATATCGACTTCTAAAATACTTTACATACCGTTGAACCTTGGCTCATGGTTTCTGAGTTTGAACTCATCGACCCCTCTGAGCTGGTCGAGGTACTCGAGTTAGTCCTGGTACGAAAGGTGGGTGGATAATCAGACGTGCGGGCTAAGTAGGTATCCTGACAAGACTGCCTGATGGTTTCCATGATCTGACTAGCCAATCCGACGCGGTCACAGCGAAACACGTGACATGATGTCCTAGTCTTGCTGCCCTGAAACGCTTTGGACGATATATAGCCGAAGTAGCGCCGATCCTCGTCGAAAAGGCCCATGGAGAGTATCCATTCTAGTTGATGAATATCCAGCAAACGGTCCTGTTTGCTGTCCTTGAGGTGAATGGCATCTTTATACAGTTCAATTTTAGCTACGGTGTACTCCTTCGAGTCCGTGTGGTCCAACACTGAACTGATGTTGTCATTGACAACCAGAAAGGATTTCTTCACCTTGTGTGAACCCAGGTAAACCAGTTCGTCAAAGCTGGCGAGTTCGCTCCTTCGCTTGCTTCTTGATGTGCTCATGCGCGGAAGTGACCTTGAATTGCCCGACCTTGGTGTGCTCAGCACGCCCATGGACGACCATCTGGAAAGCTGGAATTGAAAAATTAGGATGCATTTAGCATATGATCAAATCTCTGTCTGTAGGATATCGGGAATTTGGGGATTTTAGAAATATGTGAAATATGGCGATGGCGCAATGTAGGCCAGAATTGGACCATACCGCACACGCGTAGATACAAATTCTGCGCAATTCTATATATACACCAACATGGTGGCTGAAAACCAATTACTCAAATAAATCCGAATTTCAATGTTTAAGATTGAACTTGTGGTCAATGCTCTACAAGTGGACTCTGTAGCTCAGGTGGTCATAGCGCTTTACCAGAATCGCAGGTTCGACTCCTGTCGGAGGGCCTATAAAAGTTGCATTTCTAAAGTTGCATTTTTCACAACTGTTCCTGGTTAGGTGTGATAAATGTATAAAATTTACACTCGCAAATTTCCATCTACAAAAAAAACCCCATCTCATTGTTAGGACCATTTCTTGATCTTAACCAAGCATTTTAAAACCAAGTCTAACATAACATTAACATAACTTACACCATAGATAATCCAGAAGACATGAAGACATGAAATGATCCAGAAGACATGAAATGATCTTGTCTTCTGGATTGTCTATGCTTACACGAAAACGGCCTTTGAAAATATGCTGACGTCAGCAATATTGTTCAAGAGGAGAAGTTCTTGTATCTACCTAATTAAAGTTTTTGCGATGAACAGTTGCAAAGTTCTGACGTCATAGACCTAGTGAGCCGACCATTAAATATACTTATCGCCCCAAGAGATGTGAGAAAATCCCAGTAGGTCTTGTTTTGTTAGTTCCTTGATAATATAAACTAAATTGGATTACTGCAGAAGTTTCTTTATACACTGTACTGTATAGTCTATCGTCTATACTCTACAGGGTGTATATAAAAAAAACTGAACAGATTTGAATTTGCTCTCAATTTAGCAAAACAACTATTAGTATCCAGTTTTTGATATATATTGCTTCTTTGGGTACTTATAATGTAGAATATGAAAAAAATTCTCGAACTCAAATTTTGTGAACCAGGGGGGGGGGGGGTTGTCTTTTCCAACAAACTAAAAATGGCTTGCGCACGAAAGTTAAAAACATGAATCATATTTTAAGCTAATAGATGGACAATTTGTTGGGTTTTTAATTACTGTCCAAAATTTCAGACAAATTGCTTTAGTTTAACAAATTTTCCATCTGTTAACTCAAAATATGATTAAAGCTTTTAAATTTCGTGCGCAAGCCATTTTTAGTTTGTAGGAAAAGACACACACCCCTGGTTCACAAAATTTGTATTCGAGAAATATTTTTCATTATTCTACATTATAAGTACCCAAAGACACTATATACATCAAAAATTGGATACTAATGGCTGTTTTGCGAAATTGAGAGCAATTTCAAATCTGTTCAGTTTTTTTTTTAAACACCCTGTATACGTTTATTTGAAATAAGGGCGACCATCTTGGGGGAATTGGAGAACGCGTTTCCCCCGCCGCCCTTTTTGGACAGGAGCGATAAATTTACACAATCATTTACTTGTTAAATTTTACAGATAAATTTTCATTCTGCCGCCTATCAGTCAAGGTTAAATGCAAGTTAAATAAAACTTTGAAAAAAAAACATGAACCCAGGTATTTCATTCATTTTTAATTCATTAATCGGTTTCAGATGCGATATAACTTCCTATTGCGTTCAGTCTTCCGAATAAGTCAAGGTCGATATTCGGATGACACATCATTATGCTATATTTATTGTGATTTGGTAACACAAGTGACAAGTATCGATTTCCGGATGACTGAAGCCACTTCAAAGGATTATGCTTTGCGTTATTCGTAGAAACCTAGCCAAGGGCAAGGTGACATAAATCACCCGCAAACAGGCGTTTCACAAAACTGATATCAGTTTGCAAGTCAAAAAATGAAAAGCCTTTTAATTAAAATTAACAACAAAAACCTAATTATAGTTACAAATATTAAATATATCATGAACTATAGCACTCTGAGACCCCATACTTTGGGCCAGCGAATTAATCTTTATCTTGCTAACACACACACACACATACAAATGCTCATGAAATATGCTCTCAAAATTATAATTTTGTTTTCAAAGTTAAAGTTCGCAATTTGAAATCAGAACCTGTGACACACACTACATGTATCGTAATTTGATTACGTTGGGATGGCTAAGCCAATTTCAAAGGACTGTGATGGCTGCACGCGAAGGATATCGATTATCGGAGATGAAACGGATGAATTGTCGGAAGTCGTCTCTGAGAAAATTTATTTATGTAATTGTACGATTTTCGCTAAAGCACTAGTTCAAACATGTCATTATTTTTAGTCCATTCATTTTGGAATGTGTCTGAACACATTGTATAATCTTATTTACATTCAACTGACTTCTTGCATGACCTTTGTAATTTTAGTAAGCAGTCCAAGCACGTAGGGTGGTAGTCACACTTTTTAATGGTTATATACACTGTTGGTTACATAACTAGTTTGTCCCACGGCATGTACCAAGTGGCTTATAGTAGCTAAAACGCAATCATGCATGCAGACCATAAAATATCTCTAAATAGTTGGATAAATATGCAACATTATTAACTAACTCTAACCAATTTTAATGTGTTCTAGATTGTTACACAGCTATAATTAGCTTCCAAAATTCAATCTAAAAGATGATGTATATCGGCATATATAGTGATATATATATATATGTCAACTATTAGAATTATGCGCAGAAAATATGCAAAGTGTAAACCATCCTGCATTGTTACCTCAGGGTATATATCGTAAAACCTGTTTTCTACTTTAATCGTATGCGCAAGATAGCGTAATTTTTTGTTCTTCAGCACTAGGTCTAGGTGGAACTAAGGACTTCGACACCAAAGAAAAATCTACGGGGCGATACGGTTGACGTGGAAAACAGGCATATTGAACAAAAATAACTTGCACATGTAAACTACGACACAGAGCTTCTTATAACGACTTTATGAGAATCGAAAAAAAACTTAATCAAGACAATCTCGCTACAAATTTCCGCAGAAAGGAAACGGTTTTATTACGTTACACGATTACCACTTTCTCTATTGACTTAGATTGATTTTTTTGCCTTAGGGGAGTCTAAGTAAACGAGACTGGGATTTAGAGATTTTATAATTAATTTAAAGGTCAGGCTAAATTTAATATGTCCCCTTGAAGGTCACCTCTCGCATCTAAAGACTCATGCACTATTTTGAGATGTTATGCTGTTACTATAATAATGGTATAATTAACATATATTGCGTCCTCATCACGTTTTTTTTATTCCAGCATTTTTTATTCCAACAAAAAAATTAGGGTTACAAATTCAAGGACAAAACTCCCAGATCAGACGACAGACATAAGACATCAATGGCAAGTACAAGTGTCATTAGCCAACATGCACAATTGCTAGACTGAATTATGTCTTTTGGACGATAATTATAACACTAGGAAAAATTTATTCCGAGCTAGTCTAAATATCCTTTCTAAGTTGCGAAAGACCAAATTTTTGCAGATCAACTTAATTAAGTACATCACACTATCACAGAACTCAGAAGACGAGAAAATGCTTTAGTTAATCCACAAAACACTTTTGACTCAGTTTCCCCAGTCGAAATGTGTCTTACTCCTGTTCGTGTTTTAGGAAACGGCTTATGTAGTTTGAAGTCATATAATGATCGGTATATATCGAAACTTCGAAATGTAGCTATCCAATCACAGGCAAGCCTGCGAACTTTGTATGCAAGTCTATTAAATAGAAACATGCCAAAACCTGATACGTCGAGCCGAAATTTCGAAAGCAAACTGAAATCGAAAGTGATTTCAAACTTTCCGTGTTTGTGCTTTATCATGTTTATGTAGACGAAGAAATATATTTATTTTACTTACTTTGATAATTGCGGTGCACAAACCAAGTTTGAGACATCGCTTTATATTTGTTGCGCGAGTTTGCTAGTCTGTTAGTTTGTTAGTCTGTTACTGTGTTAGGCTGTTACTGTGTTAGGCTGTTACTGTGTTAGGCTGTTACTGTGTTAGGCTGTTACTGTGTTAGGCTGTTACTGTGTTAGGCTGTTACTGTGTTAGGCTGTTACTGTGTTAGGCTGTTAGTTTGGTAGTCCATTACTGTATTAGTCTGTTAGTCTATTAGTTTGTTATTCTGTTAGTTTGACAAACTAACAAACTGTTTGTTAGGCTGTTAATTTGTTAGGCTGTTAGTTTGTTAGGCTGTTAGCAGAGGTCTGTTAGTCTGTTAGTTTGTTATTCTGTTAGCAGAGGTCTGTTAGTCTATTAGTCTGTTAGTCTGTTAGTTTGTTAGTCTGTTAGTTTGACAAACTAACAAACTGTTTGTTAGTTTATCTGGCTGTTAGTCTGTTCATATATATGCCTTCGTGCTTGTGGTGCACTTATTTTGCGCATGCTCCCGGACCACCGCACTGTAGTACTATGTCAGATTTCACAGACAATTCTTGATGGTTTTTTACTTTTAACCCGACTAATCCTTTTCCGTTTTTCCTTCCACGTTGGATATATAAATGAAAATGACCTTTACATTTTTTGTTAATTTCCTGGGTGGGAGAAATCTCGGATTAAGCAACATTTAAAACATATTAACTTACTGAGACAGATTGTACATATTGATCACTAGAGCCAGGAAGTATAACCAATATGGCACTCGATTACAAATTTCCGTTGTTGGCTCTCCACCCTAAGGATATTTATTTTGCCGACACGCTATGCCAAAATGATCGTATTCTATTAATTTCTAAATTGTTACAATTATTTTACACTGAACATTATTATACCATCGGTAATTTGAGAAGTTTTGGGGCATCATTATATACCTATTCAACCACAATGCACCGCCAGACTTATATTATAACTTGCCGATGGGAAAGTGTTTAAACGAAAACGGTACAAACTAATTGGGTTTTTTTGAGCAACTGTTTGCATATTCAAATGATGTTTGAACAGTTGAATATTTTGATATGCATAGTCTAATACTTCCAGTCTCACCTACATGTTATATAGCCTGTGAACAGGCGTTTATTCAGATAGGCCCCACCTGAATAAACGCCTGTTCGCAGGCGACAATGTTATGATTCAACTACTCCCGACGCAGAACACTTCATATCGATGCGCAGTGGATACTCTGAATTAGCTGGCTAGCACACAAGAGGGAAAATATTCACATGTGGTTTTGTTTAAGGTGCAGTAGTTTAAATTTAGCCATATACTGCAAAACGACAGTAAACAACAAATTAAAAGTCTCTGGCAAAATGTCAACTAGCGCATGTTTTCTTGCGGTCTACCATTGGAGTGACATGCGTGGTTATACATAATAATCTTCCTGTTGTTCTCTTTCCCCAGTATGAAATTATCGATTTATAAAACAGAAAATGAAATTTTTGTTCAAAACATCCTCAAAACTTTCCAATTCGCTTATCACATAAATTTCTAATTTGTAAGTGGCCGCAAATTTTTAGCATCCGTTTTTACCACAAACCACCTGTAGCAACAGCAACCACCGCATTTTGCGCAGCTTCGGACCGTTGATGGTAGAGTGGTGTGCCTTTCACCGTTTGCACGTGACTACGGTTTTATTTCCTCAGTCACGTGTTGAAAGAGCGCTTCCAGTTTAATGATCTTCTCATGGTACTCCAAAACATACCATACCATATATACCATACAGAACTATGCCGTACCATGCCATACTCTTCCATAACCTACTATTCTATACTACCACACCAAACACCAGGGCCAGAACTCTGTAGCGAGATTGCATGCATTGTAGAACTGAGCATATATAAAGTCACTTATGATATATAGCTTAGTATATATTGTTTTAATATTTTAAAATAGAAACATTTTTGTTGAACTTTCTAGATTGGCCAATGCTGACCTTCCCAACCTTGGATTCTGGAGAAAAGGTCATGAAATTCTTGCGAAGTATGTCAGGTGTTTGATTTCAAGTAATAATTATGTTATTTTAATGCTACTCCCTGGAAAAATGCGCAAATATTTAACCATTACTCGTGCAATCCGTGTCAAGTGACGTTTTTGCAAGGCTTGTAATAACAAGTGAATGAGAAAACGTTTTCATAAAATGACACGAACGAAGGCATTCGCTTCCGTTTGAGTCTCGACTCTAAAACGCGCTGAAATGGTTGATTGTTTTAATACGTACAAACAACCATCTGTCGTTTGAATTTAAAAAGCCAACAAAAAATAAAATATGTTTGTCCTGGAATGAACAAGAGTTGAACGTATCCTAGATAGGACTTTTTAAAAACGGGCTAGATAAATTCTTTGTCAATTATACTAATATGTGGAGTTCTACATGAAATTGCAGATTTTCAACAGGACAAGGCATATCTTTCGTTCAGCTCAACTGGCAGTTTTTTTTTACTAAGTCTCAATGGCTTCGGACAAACCCCCCATGTAATACTCAATCTAATCCTTTTTCCAGGACTGATAAAACTTTGACTGATCATCCATTTTCCATAATGGTGGGGCCCTGCACCCCAATAAAATTTCCGCCACATACTGCTATAAGTAATGAAAAGGATGAGTGCCTGAGAAAAGCATCATTAGTTTTGACCTGTTTGCATTAAATATGTTTTGGCAGGAGCAGTTTTACTAAATAAAAGTTAATGAATCAGTTTTGAGAAGGTCAAAGATTTAATGATATATAACCAAAATTTTACTGAAACTGCCCATAATATTAAGTTCTACATGAAATTACATATTTTCAACACGAAAAGGCAGATAGGTCGGCCAGTGTATTGAAAATAATTTTTGGCAGTAGTATTTTTACGAAATGAAGATTAATGGATTAAAGTCTTATTAAAGGAAATACTTGGCAATTTTATGCATGTATAGTGTATGATTATATTAATCTGTATCATATTATAACTGTCTGCTTAAGTCATTTGGCAGATATCTTGTGAAATTCTTGAACTGTTTAATCCCTGTTTCACCTTCCTTTGGCTGTGCTAAAAAATACTCTGAATAGAGCACTGTATGTGTGATGTCATGGCGTGAAACAAAACTCAAATACAATTATGATCTATTAAAGAGTATAAACATTTGTCAAGGGAATGAACCCAATTTTGCCATATAATGGTTATAAATCAGACTACATCATGCTAGTTTAGTTCAATGGTTGTGTTCACTCAAGCAAAAATAACAATAATAACTATATAGTGTATAAATGTACCTTGACTATAAATTATATGTTAAAATTTGTTTTAACTATATATGGTTTGACTATGGTACTATTATATAGTTGCTATATGGTACTATGGTTCCATTGTGCTTATGGTGTTATGATGCTACATGGTCCTTTGGTCCTATATGCTATTATAATGCTGCATAGTACTTATAATGGTTCCATGGTTCTGTGGTGTATTGGTTCCGCTATGGTACTATGGTACTATTATGGTTCTATATATGTCTATATTGCGGCTTATTGCCATGGTGAAAATACTTAAAGACCTATTTCAATCACTACATTGTAAATAGAATGTTGTATAGTATATTTGCTTTGCTATACCATCGTGTGTGGTGGCTACTTCACTGATTGCTTATCGATAATTTTTAGACTAGACCAAACACTTTATGCGCAATCTTTTATGTTGAAAAAACGCGCAAAAAACAAATCTGTTGCTAATTTTTACTCGATATCAATGTAAAGATAGTTTAATTCTTGTTTACTTGGTACTTGATTAAGAAGTTAATTGACGAAACAGCTTAATCTCTTAAGATATAAACAAATTGGAATTCTTAAGCATGTTGACCCGTTGGCATTATTTTTCAGTCTTATAATTCGTATTTGGACATTTAGATTTCCTCTTTGTACTCCTATATAAAGTACATGGCATAGAATATTGCGTCAAACGTTTATTCCTATTTTAAACCATGTGCTTTATTTGACATCAGTACACAACTTTCTTGTCACGAAAAAACTTGTACTGTTGTACATTAATAAAGTAAATACAGGCAGATAAAACTATCGATGGGGGAAACTATATCAAATTTCAAAATTGTTTTAATTTGGTTTATAGTGTTTAGACTATATTTCTTTCCCCAAATTGAAACTTCGACTTTGTTCGGAGAGAGGTAACCTAAACATCTCAAGCTTGGAAACTGTAAACATTTGTTGTAAATAAATGCTCAAGTACAGCGTAGAGCAATGTGAAATATGCGAGCTAATTATGATACTATTACGGTTAGCGCGCTATTTAAGGTAATTTTCAAAAATATCGCAATTTACTCCGAAGAATGGTGTTAGATGAAAATACTGAATAGATTCAACATTACAACATAGTGTTCAAACCGACTCAACAATGTTGCATTCAAATAATCAGGTTGAACGACGTTGAACCAGCATGCTGAGCTAGTTTGAACGTGCATTATAAAGTGTACTATATATAATAGCAAATTTATGAGATGTCACTTACCGAATTTGTGGTGGCAGGTCGCTTGAAGATCTTTACGATGGCCTCTTTAATTTGATCAGCGTCTGAACAATGTATAACAAACAGCCGCGTATCGTCGCCAGGTTTACTAATGGTATACCCAAGTGCTGTCTTGTTATTTGCACTGTATGTTGTGATGCAGCCAATGTCATCCACGCTATTCTTTGCGAGCAGCCACCAGGGCGCGCAGTTATAACTGAGGCAAAGAAACTCGCTTGTAACCTGAAAGCTTACAGGTTTAGACTGTTCCTTCTTTTCCCGCGCTAAATAATCACCGATAACTTTTTGAATTGATTTTGGGCTTGTTTTGGTTATAATACAACTTCCTACTAATGTCCCTGTGTACAGGCCTAGCCCAAAATCTGCGTTTTGAGTGCCCTCTGGATTGCCCAAGTGTAAACTTCGAGGCCTGGACCTCTTTGTGAAACTCCCACTCCCCCTTTGTGGTAGTTCTGGCGGTTTCCCCACGGCAAGGGGTACGTTCCCACAACTATACGATGTAGATCTTCGCAATTCTGGTCTCTCTAAGCTGCCCAAAGAGCTAGAGTTGCTACAAGACCCAACAGAAACAGGTGATGGGTTTGTACGTCGCCCAAAATCGATTGAAGTATACACAATGTCTATTGGTTTCGAAATGGGTCTTTGTTGCGAGGGTGGTGACATTTCTTCATACACGATATCCAGATCTTCGTAGAGTGATTCAGTTTCTGAAGTTTCGTTCGAGGTGGTTGATTTTATACTCATTCTTGATTTCATTCTGTCCTCAAAATTCTCATAAACATGATAAGTGTTAAAAACATCCGAAGTATGTTGACAACCAATTTCTGGGTCGATATTTTGTTGTTGTTGTTGTACAACAAGTTCTGAGTCGGATAGGCTATCATGCCCATTTCGTGAGTTTTCCCTGCCACACGCGAGTACGTGTTTCGCCGTGCGCGTGTTTTCATACAACGCAGAATCGTCTTGGGTAACCCTTGGTCGACAATTATCTTTACTATCATCAGACTTTATATCATTGTTATGAGAACCGCGTAAAATAGGGTTGTCCGATTCTCGCGTTTTTCTGGGTAGCGATTCGGTACTTTTGGCGGGCGATTTAGTACTTTTGGCATGAGATTTAGTACTTTTGGCATGTGATTTAGCACGTTTGGCAGGCGATTCTTCAGCAGGCTTTCTTCTATGAATCTCAGCATAATGAGTCGTTTGCTGTTCGTTTGGGATGGGGGATCCTTCACAGACTATGAATTCGACATACTCCGCTTCGCTCCCAACAGACCAACTGCGTACCTTGTTATTCAAATCCTTTATATTTTCGTATGTTGCATTCATGTTCACATCTGCGGAACCGGTGTTCCCAAAATCATTGTCAATTGCGCTCTCTTTAGTCATCTCGCTACAAACACGTTAACACACAAAGACGCGGTGTTTAGGAATGCGCGTAGAGTACAAGGTTATGAAATATTTAATAATATTATTCTTGCCCAATATCGTTCGCAAACATGTCAAAGTTGATTAATCAGTGAAAATCTTGCTTGTGGTTCATCTTCTGTTTATAAGAATCAGTCGTCGGGGTGCTTTTCGATTTTCGTGTCGTAGTTCGTCCAATACACAAGACACGTCTGTTCACCTTCAGGCTCGTTTGTACAATGCGCTTGTCTGACGGTTATACCACATGTGGATGAATTGCGCGATGAATTCCATTAATACTTGTGCCAGCCAGTAATAAGCAAGAATAGTAGATTTACTCGTTGGGGGCATGGTATTAACCAGTTCCGGCTTGTCCCGACGAGGTCACGATCATATCTCGAGAGTTGGGGATTGGGTTTAGTGAAACCATACTACGGAAGGAAACCAATCCAAGGGTGCGTTTAATTTAATAAATAAGACAACCTTGCGGTATTTGGTGAGTCACACTTCACGTAGGATTTCGGTCGCGTGTGAAAAGAGAATCATGTATATCGGAGGAAGAATCTCTATCATAGCGTGAAAGACAATGTTCCATCACTCATATCTTACCCTCGACTCTCGACTTATTCTCGAACACTCGTTTCCTCTTTCCTCTGTTGCAATCAAAGCAAACAAGATCAAAACCGGATGTGGATTGGGTAATGACTTGACTTCACACTGTTTTATTGTTCACTGTGCGTCTTGGTTGTTTGTTTAAAAACTGGTTTATTGTGGTTTGAGGTTTTTCAAACGAATGAATGTGAGTTGTGTAACACTTTCAAGTATTTCGCAAGAAAGTGGAGTTGTAGACTCAATTACTGACCTAAACGAACCTTATTAATTAAAACTGGATAGCTCTCTCATTTCAAAACTGTTCTTCCTAGAGCTCCAGTAAGGGTCATTCCTTATTTATAGAGCGATATTCCAAAGGCATATGCACAAACCACTATGCGGCAAAACACTCCTAATTTTAACTTTAGTTTATATTCGATGTTTACCTTTCTCAGCATGAGGTGCCTGGAAAATTAAACCTTACTGCGTTTACGTCCAATTCAAACGAGGTCAACATGTTGGTCAACCAGGGGCGGTGCTAGAGGGGTGGGGGTGGAACAGTCGTCAGGTAGTCGGCAAATTATTGTATAGTCGGCAAAACATGAATTGGATAGAAAGGGGAAAAACTAAAATATTGGAATGAAACTGATTAACAAATATAATTATAGCTCGAATTTGAGGAAGAGAAAAACTGAACGAGTAACGGTTCTTCAATCCAAAAGATAATGAAAAATATGATATCCGGAAAATGTTTCGCAAACAGCCCCCCCCCCCC